GAATAAAACGTCGAAAAAAATTGGATTTATGAAAAGAACATGCAAACATCTAAGTAGGAGATATAAAGTCATAGTTTATAGATCAATTGTCGAACCACACTTCATATACTGCCCTACTATTTTGTTTATAACATCGGACACGCAGATAGATAAGTTACAAAAAATGCAAAATAGGGCTATGAGACACATTCTTAACGCCCGATGCGATACCAGCATCTCGTCAATGCTGAATGAGTTAAACTGGCTAAATGTGAAACAAGTAATTTTCTTCCACTCAATGAAATTTATTTATAATATTAAGAATGGAGCCCTTCCAAAATATTTGAGTGACAACTTTAGGTATAGTAGTGACACTCACACCTATAAAACAAGAGTTAGGGATAATTTTAAACTCCCATTCTGCCAAACGGAAAACCTAAAGCAAGATTTGTACTATAAAGGTTTAAAAACATACAACGAACTGCCGGCAAATATAAGAAGCTGCAACAGCTTACAACAATTCAAAAGTCGATTATACCACCACTGCAAAATATATGTATAGAATGAAATGATAAAAAATTTTATTTTAAAGGATTGCTGCTTGATCCAGTAGAGAGGGTCGGCATGGAAACTAGTCCTTTCCATTCGCCCTACAGTACGGCTCAAGATCTAGATCCTTTCCAGTAGAGAGGGTCGGCATGGAAACTAGTCCTTTCCATTCGCCCTACAGCACGGCTCAAGATCTAGATCCTTTCAGACCACTTGTATAACAGGAATATTTAAAGATAGATTGGCTCGGAAACTAGTACTTTCCGACTGATCACAAATTACTTTATAGCCTTTACATATGACCACAAAGCCTGAAGTGAAGTCGCGACTTGGAATAAAGTCCACAGCAATGGTACAGGAAGTGCGGCTCTGGAACTCGTCCTTTCGGGCCGCCCACCTAAACAGTACCCAACATTCGGGCTGCTCGGGATCCCGTCCATTCCGACAGCCACGGTCACACTTATAATTTAATTTAATATAATTAATAAAATTACCTTGTTTAAATGTATATATATTTGTACAGGATAAATGTTAGGATAGTCCTCTCAAAAAAATGTGTAAGAACAAAATATGTAGTGAAATAAGAATATTGTTTTCATGTATGATTGTGATCCTGTGATGTAATGTATGCATATATCAATATAAAAACTATAAACCCAAAATTGTACCAAATAAAATAGTAAGCAAATATTGTAAATTTTCAGACTTGTTATAGGCCTTTAAAGGCTGTCAATAAATGAATAAATAAAATAAATAAATAAAATAAGATAAAATACCTTTTTAAGAAAAAAATGTGTATACTAAGAAAAAATTAAAAAATATTTAACTATATTATTAGGCAAAGAATTGTTAAAGAAGTAACACTGTCTCACCTAAGGCAGTCAATATGGCGGAATTAGAGCGAGAAGTTGCCAACTGATAGCACCTGTATTATTGCATCATGCAATGCGATAGCATGAACGCTCTTCGAAAACATATGTTCGAAAGTGCTAAATGTTGCATTTTAAATGCAGCAAAAACGCTGCATAACGTTTACAGCGCGAAAAATAATAGTTAATACCCAATAAACACCAAAAAAATATTTCTCCAACCTAGGAGAAATTCATTGTTCTCAAGTTGATATCCAACATCATCCTCCAACTCATCTCTAACCCACGCGCAGATACGTAAAAAGCGATACAGTTACGAATTTTTAATTATCAAGTGAAAAACTAAAGCTATATAAAGGGGAAAACTACCAACGAAAAGTAAATAATCTTCAAAGTATCCTCAAATATTCTTGAAAGAAAATTAAACGCGAAGTGAATCAAGTGGCAAAATTACTTTCGGACTGCATACTTGGAAGTGAATTATTGTAATCAATACTACATAATACAAAAGGAGCAATAAAATGAAAAATTAATATTTAAATTCATCTATGTATGTATGTCGTTTCAATCAAAAAGATATAAGGTATTTTACTGTTTCAATTTCAGTATTTCAATGATATGTTTGAGACCAATTGGAGAATTACATTGGAGTTCAAGTCGAGAACTAGCATTTTCTCATCTTGAGAAACAGTCCTTTTTTCATACAAAGAAAAATCCCCTTTTTGTTGAGAACGCTATGATCCTCCACTTGAGGTACTGTTGAGAAACAACGTTGGAGATTTGAGAAATACCTTAGTTCTCAACTTAACCTCAAGTTGAGCTCAAACCTAAGGGCCGGTTGTTCAATGTCTGATTAGCACAAATCGGAGGTAGAAGCTCCGGTTAGGTACAACGGCTGCTTTACCGATCACATGTTACATGCAACATGTCGAAATCGTCGATAGTGTAGTGGTAGTGATAACCAGACATTGAACAACCGGCCTTAAATGTTTATTGGGTAGTAATTGCGTTAAAACGTCTGTATCAGTGTTGCCACTGGCTTAGCTTTCAAAGTATCGATAAAAAATCGAAAACTGTATCGAAATGTGTCCACCGAAAAGTGCGGACATTTTTACACAGTGCATCTATGGAATACAAACTCGGCCCCTTAATAAACTTATTAACATGTAGTCAGTATTTTCCCATCCTTAGACACGGATTTAAGAAACAAAGTCGACTCTAAAGTTAATTGCAGCTTTTTGACAAAATTTTCAATGGGATATCTGTCAAAAAAGCTGCAACTAACTTTAGTGCCGACATAATTTCGAGTATACCTACGGGTCTTTGTTTCCCAGATCTGTCTCTAAGAATCGGAAAATACTGACTACAATTATGGGCCAAAGTTTCCGCATGTCCGATGTTTATTACTACGATTAGATTCTCGGCATTACAGTTAACTAATACAGGGGCTCTATTCTGTAACTGTGAGTTTTCAACTCTACACTGAAAATTGTATGCACTCTTCATTTTGCGATTCAGGAAGAGTGAGAATGAGTTTTAGCTGTCAAAATTGTGTACACTTCCTCATTTTGCGATTCAGCATGTATGAGAATGAGTTGTAACTGTCAAAATTGTGTACACTTCTCTTCCGAAAAACTCACTGAATTTTAGTCGGTGGTTGTGACTTTTGCACTGGGTGTACACTACATTTTCTCACAGGTACAGAATAGGGCCCCTGGTCGGGACACTTTTTAAAATTTGCAAACTACTTGGTATTATTAAATGCATTCAATTAAATTTTATTTTTCAAAGTGACAAGAATAAGTGAAAATTTTTTGCTTGGATGATGAGGAGCAAACTGTTAAAAATGTTGAAGTAAACGAAGTATCCCTCAAAATACCTTGTATACCTTGCATTATGTCTACTTTGGCACCATCTCGCGGTTTTCGCCGACAATTAAGTTGCCAAAAAGCACAGGGCGATTCATATTAGATATAAACGTAGATCAAAAAATGTAGGAGCAAAATTTAAGGTATCGGGTTGCGCTACGAGTACTTTTTTTCGATACCTAGTCGACGTTCAGACACGAACGAGGAAAGCGGACGGGTACCGAGTCGCCCGTACTCGGGAAACATGCCTTGTGCTCTCGTTCGTCTGAGTAATTAAAGTTGGCGATTCACAGCTGACAACAACATTTGCGTACAAAAGAGTTTCTGTGTGGAAATGCAAAGGGCAACACCAAAACAGAAATCGCCGATAATAAGAAACTCGAGTTTCCGTGTTTGAACGCAGACCTACTCCATGAACCAAAAATAAAAGACCACGCCCTCTTCTTAGTAGCCCGTTATAATCGCATTTAGGACTTTGACATTAGCCGTTTGTTTACATTTGTTCGTTGTTTAGAATTTGGTGGTGGCTTTTTACTGCAATTTTCTTAATTTTCGCTTGTGACAACGTGTGCACACATAAGCTTAGTATCCAGCTCTTAAGAAAAGCAAAAACTCCATATAAAATGACGTACAAGAAATGGCTAAGAAATTTTCTTGAGTCAAATTTCCTTAAGGCAGTACGCAGTTCTTCAGAAATTTAGTACACTTTATACTACGGTTTTCTAAAGTTTTTTGTGAAAAAAGAGCACAAGGCAACCCAGGCTTGCAACAGAAATATATGCCCGTTCCATTATTTCTTGAAGAAAGAGTGAGGCAACAGGCTGTGAGGTATAAAAAATGTCAAAATTCCTTGGACACACACGCGAAATAATGGCAATTTTTTCTTGACCGTTTTCTTAAGAGCTGGATACTAAGCTATAAGGTGAAGAATAATTTAACACAACGGCATGATTTATAGAAGAATTTGCATAATAAAAATGATTATTCATGCGTTCAAAATTACGCGGTTTTTTTTTGTTCTCTTCGTTGTTTACTTCTTCCAACAAAGATGGCGTCGAGATTTCAACAGCTAGAAAATAACTTTTTTCTTTCTTTCGGGAAGGCTTGATCTTGTGTCTTTCGTTCATGGACCTACTCAGTACTTGGTTCAAAAGTATCGATGCCAAAATTACTTGGTATCGAACGAAAAATATCGAGTATGTAGTTGTATTTAATCTCATCTCATCTCATTAATTTCATTCCTTATAAGGTTGGACTAGAGGTGTTAAACTATCGATAGTCACACCATCGATAGGTTTGATAGTTTTGAGAAAAACTATCAATATTCACGATATTCTCGAAAAAAAACAAAACTATCGATAGCGCTATCGATAGTGCTAAATCAGTTAGGTTGCTTTGTTTTTACAGGATCATAGTGAAATAATTATTATCTTATAAAAGTTATAATCATTCAAAATTAAGAATCTGCTTAGCCAAAATACTTATCTTTTTAATAAGTTCAAAAACAAACACAAGTTATACAAACAAAACAGGATTTACGATTAACACATGTATGTATGTTGGCCTAAATGCGTGCATATTTGAATATGACGTCGGCATCACACTAAAAAATAAAATTTTTAATTCAAATTAAAAAATGCAGTTATTACCAACAATAGATCGATAGTCCTACTAAACTATCGATATTTTTGATAGTATAAGATAGAACTATCAATGAGTATTGATAGTCTAAAAAAATTTAAACTATCGATACTATCGATAGTCCCATCGATAATTTGACAACTCTAGGTTGGACTGTCGTGTCTGTTATAAGAAATTAATTAAATAGTATTTTTAAGTCGTATGTAATCAGTTTCCCTTTTTACCAGCGAAATGTCAAGTATGACTAACTTATCCAGCAATGAAAAAGGGGAACTTATTGAGCAAGTTAAGCAACAAATCGCAGTGGCCAATGCTCAAGAATTGTTGACTGTAAGCACATGGGTTTATTATGTTAAGAAATTACACAATCAGCAATGTGGTTTTCATTTGCAGAAAATGACAGAAAAATGTTTCAAAAAATGTATTGGCAAGCCGGGCGTCGCATTGGATTCCTCAGAGCAGGTGTGCACAGCACTTTTATAGTGTATCGCAAATTTGTACATTGGGACGGTTGAAATAAAATATCTTGAGTAAAAGTGCACCGTAGCAGTGTTGACTTTAGTGCACATCGACAAGTGTGTGTTTTACCAAACCTATCGCGAATTTTTTCATGAAACTTTACGAAGATAAGAAACATTTATATTTACATAAGTTCTCGCTATTTTCACTTTGTTAATACCAGTATTAAGTAATTTGGGGGGTGGGGTTTAGTACCGCTCACAACTATTTCGGGCTATTCCGTCCAAATAGGTGGCCCGATCCAAAAAAAAATTTCACACACTTGTAGTCAAGGGTCCACGCAATATTTTAACACTCACTTTTGTAAATTTTGGTTACTAATTTATTTACAAATTGGGTTTAAAATATGCCCTTTTTGTAAAATTCGGAAATTAGCGTACATTTATCACTCCTATTCTGCTTAAATTAGCCACTTCACCAATATATTTTTGTATTCCCCTTCACTTTACACTTTACTTGATTTGTTATAACTTGCTTTACGACTTTAATATTAACCAATTCATCACAATTCATTAAATAAAAACACCTTCAAAATCACGCGTCTCACTTTGGTTGCATATGCAAATTAAACGGCGGAGTTCAGCTGTCAAACTCCAAAATATGCAAAAGAATGAGAGACAAAAGAAGATAGGATATAACCCAGTAAGCATTAAAAATATACAAAGGTGTTCTCTGCAAAATGTATTCAGCTCCTTTTCTTCGCAAAACAGAAAGGAGAATTCTACTGCCTGAGGGTTATAATCCCTAAGTGCGGCCGAAGGCCGCCTACGCAGAAAGGTGTTCTCTGCAAAAGGTGTTCAGCCCCCCTTCTTTGGCAACACAGAAAGGAGAATTCTACTGCCTGAGGGTTATAATCCCTAAGTGCGGCCGAAGGCC